CATAGGAATTGTTTCACTGAATTGGTGGCATTTTCATCCACATAGCATGCACTGAACCAAAGATATATGAACCTCCAAAGTAAACCGACGATATGATATGTCGATATCGATCTGCTTTAATTATGCGCAAGCGAAAGAGTATGCTAGAGCCTTTAACTACAAAATTTCATAAACCAACGACTCTTTCGTATGCCTTTAACTACAAAATTCCGGATAAACCAACGGCTCTTTCGTATGCCTTTAACTACTAAATTTTATAAACCAACGGCTCTTTCGTATGCGTTTAATTAACTACAATATTTATTCTGCACCTGCGCAGACTAAAAACTGTCACACTAACTTTTCTACATAGTGGTTAGCTGCGTATGCGCAGGCTAACCACAATAAAAATTAAATTTATCGTGTTGCCATGGCAACACTGACGTAAACGCGAGCCTGCGTTCAGTGTTGATCAATTACCAATACTTCATGTTAAATCAATGTTTGGAAAATACACGCGAGGGTTGCTGCATGCATGTATTTCTAGTATCCAGGCTATTTTCCCTCGTGCTCTGGTGTCACGGCCATCTCCCAAAAAGACCTGGGTACGAAGATGTATCGCCTTTTGGAATTTACCTTGACAAGGCCACTCTGAGTGTTAACTGCTGCGTATAAATAATGACAGATGATTTTATTTTGCGTGTGTTGTTTATAATGCAGCTAGTGTGCCTGAATAAGTGATAGAGCTGTAAGACATCGGTTCAGTTTCGCATTGAACAAATATATAGACACGCCAATAAAGTGGTTGATGTCATTTCCACGCACAGAAAATGTTCTGAAACATTATTATTAAAAATTGAAAATTTTCAACTTCAAAATTTTTAATCGACAGAAAATTTGTGTCGGCCAATCACATTTTAGAAAATTTTCTTTCTGCGGAAAATTTTCCTGAGTGGAAATGGACCTTTCAAGTTTTATTTGATGGCCGATGAAAGCAATTTGACGTTTGTCATTTGATCTCATCGACGATACCATCCCCTCATAATTTTTTCAATTGGGAAATAAATTTGTTATGTATGGTATGTGCACGGCTGTTTTGTTGACTTGATTATTGTTAAGAATAATGGATTACAAAAAAATACAAAAAAAGTGATTATTAAATTGATCAATCGAGAGCAGGTCTGAATCTTGAACAATAAGGAAATATTTCGGCATTTCGCTCCCAGTAATTAATTTAACAAAATAGTTGCAGTCCTGTTTTGGTGCACTGAGTGCCTGCTTTGCAAAAACTAGATTAATCTGACATTGCAGAGTACAACGAAAATTCGTTGTCTTGAGCTCGCATATAAGATTTGAAATCGCATATTCAAGTTTCTGGACAGCCGCTCCTCCACCCATCGCCAAATTATTTCGTGCACTTAAATTGGATAAGACAATGAAATACTCATAGAAAATATGCTTTGAAGAAGTTAGCATTTCACAGTAATTTTGCAGTGTTGAAGTATACAATACAATGACAGAGTAACATGGAAAAACATTCCCGAAAATTATAAGGAGGGAGGAAAGGGAGTACCTTTCTGGCTAAATCAATATGTGAAGCTTGCAGTCAGGGCCTCTTAAGAAGGGATGGCAGGGCAAAGGAGACAATTTGCCCCAGGCTTAACGGGGTCGCAAAATGAAGAAGAGAAAAATAAATTTAAATAGATTAAGGTAGAAAAAATAAATATAATGGGGAAATGACCCCCAAGTTGATTTGTCGTGGACCCCCGACTTTCTCAGAGAGGCCCTACTCGCATGCGAGTATTATGAAAACAAGAATTACAGTAACGTCTTCCCCATTTGCAGTTGAATTTAGGGGGCGAAACTCAAGGGTGGTGTAGAGTACTACGTAAACACATAGTGCAAAAATAAACAAAAATGAACACATAGTGTAAAATCCCCGAAAGGAAAAAAATGCAATTGGCAGGGCAAAAATAACGCCAGATCATCCGGTATAAACATTACGTAAAATGATTGTTTCTGTGTCAAAAAAATAAGTTACAGAAAAGTTACAGAATTGCTGATAGCCATTAAAAACTGCCTGATCAACTTTCGTTGTTTCATTTCTTTCACTACCTGATCAACTTTCATTTCATTTCTATTGCCAGCTGATATCCCAATTTAATTTGAAAAGGGCCTAACGAGACTCATTGCCGAAATTTCCATTTCGGACGATATAGAGACTTACTTTTCAAACGTTTCTGCTTGGCGTCAACCATGATGGTATACATGGTACTTCTAATATATTATTCAGATAAAGGATTGCAGGGCATTAGGCCTAACAGCCATCACAGAAGTTGGCAGTGCAGATCAACACGTCATAATCCGATTCACTCCCCCATTAAGAGGTTGTTGCAAATTTCTATCCTGCTACTGCAGTGTTCAAAGCAGGAAATTTTAAGATTGGTTATTCTAGCCGAATAACATTTTCAAAACAAAAATTTCGAAAATAGAAAACAATATTGGTCTGGCTACTGTTAATTCATACATTGCACTTACGCATTGCCACTGGGCACTAGAATTACGATATCAAACTGCATGACGTACGGCAAGTTGTCCTTTAGAAGAAATTTTGAAGTACTGATATAATTATTTAAGAGTTGTTTTTAACTGATTATGTAATATGATAATTATTATTGTATATAAATAGAATTCCAAAGTCGGAAATTTAGTCCAAGTCCAGTCCAAACCCAGTCCAGTGTTGACAATATGCTTTGTAATAAAGAGTAACAGGGATTATAGTATTGGGTAATAATTAAATTATTTCTGGTTTTAGGTTAAAATCCGTTGACACAATACGGTCCTGATCATTATTTTAAAATCTTATGTTAATTTGGTAAAAATTTTAAAAGCGAACAACCTCTAGCTAAAATGTTAACCAGATAGTGTATTCTTGCACCTTAATTCTGTCTCTGCAATATGTCGATATCTGGTTTGTTTTTTTTTCATTATACTTGAATTACATTGTAATATGTGTAATATTCACTTAATGTCTGCTCCCTCGGGAAATAGTTAGTTTTGTTTTCCCGAGAATCT